TCAATTAAGTCACATAACACTATCAAACTTGGTTTTACAGTGATCCTGAATGTGTATGAAGCTCATCACAGCACTATGCTGAGAGAAAAAGCGGTGAAGGAGCTTTATGACCATATTAAAGCAGACGATCGCTTCACTAAGTGTATCAGCATTGGCCCGGTGAGAGAAAAGAAGAATTTTGTTTTATGTAGTGTAATGTCAGCATGAAATCAATATTGATTCTATGAATGCACGTCCCTAGTTTTATTGTGTGTAGTTCCTCTGTGCATGTTATATCAAAATTATTCAACAGTAATTATTCATTCATAAATATTGCTCTGTGTATGAAACTAATTTCCTGTTTTGTCAGATTTCGAAAACGATCAATATGTTGGTACGCTGGTATGTGGACGGACCCACATCACCTGCCTTTCAGGAGCATGTGTCAAGGATTCCTGACTATCTATGGTTCGTGGCCTGATTTTAATAATGTCCTGTATATTTTATATATTTATAATAATAATTGGCTTTTTGTGATTTTTGTTTTTTTTAATGCCCCAGGCTGGGTCTGGATGGTTTGAAAATGCAGGTGAGAGGTTGTCATTATAAGGAATTTAACCTTTTTTGCTTCTAAAGTTTGTTATTCTGATCAGTTAAGCAATTAAAATTTTATTATTAGCAATAATAATAACAATTACCTCTCCATATTATTATTTATTTATATCAGGGTACAAACGGATCACAGCTATGGGACACTGCATTTGCAGTACAAGCATTTCTTGAGGTACATATCTTTATTAATAAAGCTGAATTTGGCACATAACCGGTGATTTCTCTGATCAGTTGAGTTTGTTTTCTAAACAGGCAGGAGCCCAGGACATCCCCAGGTTTACAGAATGCCTAACACAAGCCCATCATTTCTTTGATTTAACCCAGGTGAGGATGATTAAATCAAATTTTTTAAAACATAATGTTCTTTATTATTACAACCTGTTTATGTATTTAGCTTTAACCTAACTATATTGGTATTGACAATGTTAAATTTGCTTATGTGCCAATCCAAATACAGTGGAGTCCAAAAGTGAGACCACATTGAAATAATTTTTTCTTTTAATTATGGAAATAATCTAAGTTTTTTTTTTTTTTTTTTAAATAAAAGAAAATGAAACAAGTTTTGTTGTAAAATAAATGCATCATTCAAGCTCACTAATCAAATTTGTGACATTTCCTTTGTACAAACGGTCAGTTTTTGCTTGCTTCCGCTGAAGTACAAGAAAAAATTTCTTAATTTTAAATATATGTATATGTTTTAAATATAAAAAGCAAAACAGAGACATTTCACTTGTACTCTCAGACCTTTGGCCCCCACTGAAATGTAATAATTTGGTCTCTATGTGAGGTCTAATCAGTTTTTTATTTTTATAGATCAAAGATAATCCTCCGGAATATAAGAAATACTATAGACAAATGAACAAGGTAAATATTTGTGTATTGCTTTTCAACTTTCTTAACCATTCTTAATCTGCTCTTCAACACTTTAATGAGTATGTGTGTTCATGTGATTCAGGGAGGTTTTCCCTTCAGCACACGGGACTGTGGTTGGATAGTTGCGGACTGTACAGCGGAAGGGCTGAAATCTGTGATGCTGCTGCAGGAGCAGTGTGGTTTCCTCAAAGAAAAAGTTCCTGCAGAAAGACTCGATGATGCTGTCAATGTGGTAAAAGCCTTATTTACATTTCAGACATGTTTAACATTTTGTCTGTGTCTTACCAGTGCAGAGCCACAATAATCTGATTTACAGAACACTTATTATAGGAACAATCCCCTTGGAGCAACCTGTGGTTAAGTGTCTTGCTCAAGGGCACAATGAGCTTAAGCCACTATGCCACACCGAGCCTCTTTATGACTCAAATCTCATCAATTTACAGCATAGACAGTGTGCTCATCTTTAATCTGTCCCTCAAAAATGTTATTTTTGTTCATTTTTACTAAGACAAATGAGTTCAAATGTAAGTTAATTGATTACATTCAGTATTTATTCATAGGCTTATATTATATAGTGTCACTTCTCTAATGCTCATCCATTGAAATTACAAAGTGTAATGCATCCAAACTCACAAGCCATGTCAGAGCAAACACACTAATCGTATACACTATTGTTCAAAAGGTTGGAGGTGGTGTGATTTTTACATTTACATTTTTTTGAAAAATGTCTCTTCTCTTACGGTCACCAAAACCATATTTATTTGATCAAAAATACAGTAAAAGTAAAAATATTGTGAAATATAATTACAATTTTAAATCACTGTTTTCTATGTTAATATGTTTTAAAATATAACATAAAATATAATTTCTTCAGAAATCATTCTAATATGCTGATTTGGTGCTCAAGAGACATTTCTTATCATTATCAATGTTGAAAACAGTTAATACTTAATATTTTTTGTAGAAAGCCATGATACATTTTTGTATGATTCTTTGATTAATAGAAAATTGTAATATATAAAAACTGCATTTATTTGAAATAGAAATCTTCTTTATTATAAATGTCACTTTTGATCAATTTAATGTGTCCTTGCTGAATAAAAGTATTAATTTTACTGACCCCAAACTTTCAAAGTGTAGAGTAATTTTTTCATCTCTGTGATTTTGTTTCAGCTGCTAAGCATGAGAAATCCTGATGGAGGGTTTGCCACGTATGAGACCAAACGTGGTGGAAAACTGCTGGAGCTGTTGAACCCATCTGAAGTGTTTGGTGCGCATGCAGTAATATGTCATATTCAGTGCATTTTCCATCGGTCTTGACATGTCTGATTCCACCTCTTTCTTTCCCAGGTGATATAATGATTGACTACACGTATGTTGAGTGTACCTCAGCTGTAATGCAGGCACTGAAACACTTTCACAGCGTATATCCTGAGCACAGAGCTGAAGAGATTAGGTACAGCCAAGCACAATTTTTCAGCATATTGTGGTTTGAAAGATGGTTTGGTTAAACCACATCTCTTGATCACATAGGACAACTCTTCAGCAGGGGCTGAACTACTGCAGGAGGGTTCAAAGACCTGATGGCTCGTGGGAAGGGTAGGCGTTTGTCCTTTTATAATCAGAAACATTATTCTGTTGCTTCTTAGTCTATTTATGAAGTATTCGGCTTGTCTTAGGTCCTGGGGAGTCTGTTTCACATATGGAGTCTGGTTTGGTTTGGAGGCATTTGCATGTATGGGCCACACTTTCCAAAGCGGGTATGTTATTTGTTTGTGTTCTCATGTTGATGTTCATTTAAAAAAATCATCAGTGTTCTTTTACTGCACTTTGCACTTTATTTAACCCCCTCATTCATTTCTTTTCTACGTTGCAGGTCTGTTTGTGTGGAGGTGAAACGCGCCTGTGAGTTCATGCTGTCGAAGCAGATGGAGGATGGAGGCTGGGGCGAGGACTTTGAGTCATGTGAGCAACGGCGCTACGTTCAGAGCAAGAACTCACAGATCCACAACACCTGCTGGGCTTTGCTGGGGTTGATGGCTGTCAGGTAACATCAGCACCAGAGTTTCAGGAGAACATTTAGCGTTTTTCAAAGTGTTGCTTTTTGGCAAATTCATGGAAAAAATTGGGGCTGCTTTTCCAAAACAGGAGAGTAAATTTATTTTAAAAATGTCAAATTTTTAGGTACCCTGACATCAGAGTGATCGAGCGAGGCATTCAAGTTCTGATTGATAAGCAGCTGCACAATGGAGACTGGCCACAGGTGAGCAAAGCTGTTGCCAGATCTCCAAAATTCATCTGGGGTTTCTCTATCTGTCTAATAACATGTGCTGGGTTGTTTCCCTGTTTTCAGGAGAACATTTCTGGAGTGTTCAATAAAAGCTGCGCCATCAGCTACACCTCTTACAGGAATGTGTTTCCTGTGTGGACACTGGGCCGTTTCTCACGGCTCTACCCCTGCAGCCCTCTGGCTGGGAAACTCCAGCTCTGAGTCAGATACTGTGTACTTGCGCCTCAAATAAGCAATATCTGATCAAAGACAATTCTTATTTGAAACAAACCTGATTGCTGCTCTTTAGAATGTAGGACTGATTTATCAAAGTCTTTAGAATATTATCTACAGAATAGTTGATTCATTTTTGTGCTCATTTAACCATGGGACCAAGGCTTTGTATTCTGTAGATGATTCTGTAATTAAATGTGATTTCTGTACTCTTACAATAAATCGTTTTATATTTTGGCTTTATATTCTTCTTACTCTATGTATGA